CGCAGCTAGACAATCTCGAGTGGCTTGGTGGTAGAGGATACAGTCATTTCGGACTGTACATCCACGGCATCCAGCACACGAAAACGGATGGCGAGACGGTGACGGGCACATACCTGCCTGTCCTGTTCGAGAACCTGGCTGATCCCATACTGAGTGGAAGGGAGGAACTAGGCTTCCCCAAGCTCTTCGCCGAGCTCGATGTGAAGAGTGACGGCGGCAAGTGGACGCTCGACGCAGGCTGGATGTCATCCAAGTTCTGCAGCATGTCACTGTCTGGGCTGCAGGAACATTCTGCAACGAATGGTGAGACGCCAAGAATTTCCCCTCCTCTTCCGAAAGACGAGGGCCTTTTGTTGCACAAGTATGTACCGGCTACTGGTAACATGGGTAGCAAGGAGCGCGGGCAGGCGGATGTGGAATACACCGCTTTTCTGCCGGGTGAAGAGGATGCGAAGACGGTGGAGAAGAAGGTCGAGCGGACGTTGAAGGCGAGCTCGGCTGAGATCTCTTTCGATGCTCTGGATTGGAAGGCGCTGCCGACGCTGCATCACATCGTTGAGAGACTCAAGGAGGTGCCTGTATATGAAGTCATCGAGGCAAAGGTCGTCGAAGGTACCGGTGTAAGCGACGTGAGCTCGATCCGGAAGCTAGCATGAGCTGTATCATCTGTAGCTATTAGCAAGTCTCCTAGTTAGCATAATCCCAATTACAACTTCCAAAAGCGACTTCCCACCTGCAGTAATGTAATGCCTTTCATTCTTCATCTATCAAAAGGCCCCCAACTCCTACAAATGAGACAAGCGCTTGTCCTGAAGCTATAGATATAAATGGGGTATTACCAGGTTCTCCATCTATCAGTTGCCGCCGCCAAAAACACCTTACTGCCATGCCATATCAATGCAACAAATATAACATAGGAAAAAGAAGTGGTGATCAATGCATCTCATCTGAAGAGTTTGGAAACATCGAGTCTGTGCTGGTTTGTTGAGTCGGCTTCTTGGGCGCCGCCTTCACTGGAGTGCAGTCGGACCAGTCTGCCTCTGCCGGCGGTTCCGGCGCTGTGCTGGCGGAGGAAGGATGCCAAGAGGGGCGAATATATGCGTCCTTGTCCGGGACATCCGCGCCTGTACTGGGTCAGTCGTGAGCCCTGCAAAAGACTCGCTGAGGTAGAACAGCCCAGAGAGACACGCAGGTAAGATCTACGCACTCGCGACGCCCAGACCCTCGCAGAGTCTCTTCCTCCACTGTCCACAGACGTCCTCAAACCCATCCAGCACATTCGCACAAGCCCGTTTGGCTTCCCTCTCTTTGAGCCGTCGGTCCCAGTCCCCATGCTCAATGTATTCCTGTCCCTCTTGCGTCTTCTCGTTGTCGCGTTTCCAGTCCTGCAATTGTTCTTTGCTGACTTTGAGTCTTCTGGCTGCATTCGCCGTCGTTTGCCGTGACATGTGTAGGGTATCGCTGACGTTTGAGAGGTGTTGGATGAGTTCGCGGCTCGAGTGGGTAAGGTGGGAAATGGCAACGAGCGGATCGGCAGAAGGGTGGGGTAGCAGCTCCAGTGTGGTCTGTATGATGGGGAGAAGTTCGTCGATGTCTTCCGGGTCGGGAAGGATGGCGAATGGACCTGAGAAGGAAACGGCGATGGACGTAAGGGTACGCGATTGGTGCGTCAGATGTGTTGTCAGAGCTTCATGAGCAGTCTTTAGTCTGGGGGTTGTTAGCGATGTTTCTGGACATGGCTGCGAATTGTAACATACCTCGTCGCTCCGTTCTCCATAGCAATCTGGCTGCCAAGATCTCGGAGTTGTTGTGTGACTCTCTTCACCACCTCGTCCGATGCGCTCCCATTCTCCTCCATTCCTCTCCGTGCTAGACTCTCGATAGCAGCCATCCGCGCGTCGAGCGCGGGCGAGATGCCCTCATTTTCCAGGTCAGAGTCGTCACCGTAGTCGGAGCCATCGTACAGCGACCGTTGCCTTGTGTGCTTTTTCGTCTTAACGGCCGACCCTGGACTGAGGCGCGCCGGAGACGAGTCCTGCATGGCAACCCCACTATCCCGTACACCGTTGAGACTAGCTGCGCTGTCGACTCCATAAGAGCCGTCGTGCTCTACAGCCGTGCCGATGTTCTCGTCTTGTGCTTCGTCCAGTTCCTCGCCGTATTCGCCCTCCATGCCCTCGTCGTCATCGTCGTACATCTCGCCGAGCTCGTCGGCCAAGTTGCCCAAGCCATTGCCGTCTCCTCCGCCGTCGAATTGGTGCGCGGGGCTGTGTTCGAATTCATGCGATGAGCGCGGCGTTATGGGCGAGTAGCCAGAGTTGCGGCGGGTGAAGGACTGCCGTCTCGACGAGGTGTTGTGTGACATGTCTAGGCTGGAGGGGTGTCGGCGGTGCGAAGATGCAGGCCGCTGGGTGGGAGTGCTGGGAGGGGACGACATGGCGTTGTCGTGGTATTGCGATAGTCGCCGGTGTTCCGAACACGTCGAAGGCTCGTGAAGTCGCGGAAATGAACAAAGGCGGACCGCATTAGGAGTCCCCAGTCGGAGATCTACGCGGGAGTGAACCGTGATCCAGGGCGCGCAATGCGCGTCAGCCTCGCAGCACCTGCACGACGCGGCTCTGCCCTAACAAGCCGCCAAAAGTCTATGTAATTGCGCTGGGATAGGAGGTCCTGTGGCGGGGTATCAGCGTCTTGACGGCCTCAGACCTTCAGCGATGGTGCGGCCTTGGCTGTGGCTGCGGAAATGCGCCTCAGGTACCAAGTGCTATGATGCGTGATGATAAGTGGCTTGTGCCGCTTAGCGATAGAGCGCGTGTAGTGAGGGCGTGCGAAATAACAACGATGGAGCCTCGGTTGCCGTCGAGCCGTCGAGCCTGGTGTTTGTTGACGCTTGCCGTGTGTTTGTAATTAGTGGCTTGCGCAAAGGCTTGTGGACCCTTCTTTGCACGAGTGAAAGGGGTATGGGTATCCTGGTAGCAGGTGACCTTGATACGATGACGCTCGTATTTCACTCATACTAGTATGCAGCAGTTGTATCTGATATAGTAACGACTGTGGATTCTTCATAGCTGATAGCACGTTTTGACTCAGACACATGTCAGACAATACGACCTTTTACATCCGAACGCTCTCCAATGCTGTGTAACCTCACTCCCAAACACTTTCAAGATGGGTATCGCGTGCGATCATCCTAAGCTGGGCCGAAACACGCTCACAAACTCCAAGACGCCTGAACATGACCTTACTCATGCCGCTATAGGTACTGCCATATAGCACCCATGCAATTCAATGCCCACAGAACTCCTGTAATGCCCTCATAATGCCGCTGAAATGGATATCGGGTGTGTATGCGATTATTGCGCGGGTTTGGTCTGCTCGAGACTGGCGATCTGCTTCTTCAGCTGTGTGAAGAAGTCCTGGCCGGTCGGCATGAGGTGTGTCATGGTGCCTGGTCTCTGTCAGTATGCCAGCCTCGGTAGTGGTTCGATGGCGCCTTACCTCCTTTGCCCCATGCGCCGGTGCTTCGGGTCGGGACAGAGTCGCCGGGGACCTTGTGGTATACCGAGGGTTGGTCTGGATGCATGTTAGTCCTCTGGACATGCGCGCGGGTGATGGAGAGGTTCATACTGGCTGTGCTCTCAAGGTATTCTGCAATCGATTAGCTCATGCCATATCATGTACCAGCAATGCCATAGACGTACTCTTCTTGAGGAAGTCCCTGACCTCGTTCGCATTGAACTCCTTCACAGGTACGTGCTGGTCGGGCTGCGCTTGAGCTGGTGCAGCCGCGGGGCCTGGTTCTTTCCCCTGCTTGGCTCCCCATACGTTCCCCGTGGGCGCTGGCATAGCCTGCTGCCGGCCTGCATTGTCCTTGGTGGGGGTGTTTGCGCCCGAGTTGGAGTTGCGGTTGGCTTGACCCTGCCGCCGCCAGCTGTACCAGTCGTCAGTATACATAAGCTCCCACAGCTTCGCGTGCGCATTGTCTCAGACGTACCGATTTTCACCCGGGCCACTCATGTTCGGTATGGAGCAACGGTGGGATGTGAGGAGGGGTCGGGTCAAGATATAAAATGGTGGAAGCTCTCCAATCGCTCATGCAGCGCGCGAACTGCGTCTGTGCTGCAACGTCTAAACCAATGGGCGCCCGATGACATATTATAGCTGCGACCTCTTTCGGCCAGCTCACCAGTGCTAGCCGCTTTCAGGCCTATTTCAACACTATTCACAGCCATTATCCAACGAGTGGATGGCAATTTTTGGAGCTTTCTAATCCGCGCCGATGTGTTGTACATCACGTGTGCTGTCCTCCAATGGCAGGAGCCACCGGACGTGTCCAGCCTACGCTAGCAACAGGGTTCTCAAGGCCTCCATCCATGCATGAACCACGGCAACGGCTCCTAATGGACGAACTTGTTCTTTGTTTCCCATCTTTGCTCACCGTCATTGTTCATGGCCCGTCTCGGGATCGAGTCGGTCGGCTTGGGAAAGGAAGAGGCTGGCATGTTGTGTCATCAATCCGAACATACATCGCCGAACCTAGCCCGGTTCAGGTTTGCAGAGTCAACGTAGGAAGTGACGACCGTGATTTCCATTCTACGAGTTCAGGGAGATAGGAATGTTTGTTTCTATACAGAACTCATCTCAATCGCGAGATGGCTGACACAGCATCCTAGAGTAACATCATGCCCAGGCCGGTATCGTAGCCAATTCTTTGAGCACCTTCACCTCGCGCCCTAGTCATGAGTGAGGTGGACAGGTGAGAGACTGCCACGATGAGAGACGACTTTCGCCCTTCAGGTGAGAGAGATCTAAATGACAGCGGAGCCTCTGCCTCTTCTACTTATGTCTGAGTCTTCCTCTCGTCTTCTCACTTATTGACAACATAGTCACTACTTTTGCAATTCGAGACAGACTCATCAAAGTTTCTGACTTGTCTATTCCCAAACTTCCAACAATCAAGCTTCCGCCATTGCATTCACAGATACGAGAAAACTACGAAGATGAGAGCCTTCCCAGTCAAGTTTGTTGGACTTGCGCTCTACATCCATGACCTACAGTCAGGCACATTGACTCTACTCCACGAAAGGCCCAACAGGAAGCCAAAGGTATATGTATTGAACGAGGAAGATTTCGAAGACGGCTTGGACGAAATCGATGACGAGACCGTGCCAACGCTGGAACCCGGTCTTGAGACAAGCGCCGTAGGACTGAGTCTGCGACTATGCAAGAACGATGGAGCTCTCAGAATAACCTTCGAAGGCGAGCATGGCGGGGTCGTAGACTGGAAATTCCAAGGCTTGGAAGGCTCCAAAACGGGCAGCATGACTGCATGTGCCTTCACACAAACAATGCCTGAGGCATCGCCAGGCTGCAAAAGTGTGGAAGTTATGCCACCCGAAATCTCGATCAGCAGTATCCGGACAGTGAGCACCGATCCCATTCCGCAACGCCTCGTTCAGCCTCTACCGTTAGGTCTCAGCATCATATCGACTGCAGAAACCCGCCCAGTCAAGCCTCCAATCAAGCCTACGATCACGCTCAAGCTTCCAAAGGAGAACCCCGATCTCTTCTCGCCAACTGTCAACAAAGAGATTGGCCTCAAACGCAAAGCGACAGAGGAAGTCGAGCAGCCGAAGCCACACAAACTCGCAAAGAGTTCACACGACTCTTCACCATGGCCATCTCACCTGTACATGACGTGTTTCCGTACAAATCCTTTCTCCAAATGCGATGTCGGAACATTGCATATCGACTTAGTTGAAGGTACGGTGTCGTTCGAGGGCTGGCATGGCAAAGCAAATGCACGAACTTTCGAAAGAAAACAGGTTAATCTCAGTGACATTTCGAGTAAGTTTTGACTGATGAGGACTTCTGGGTCTCGAATCCACTTGAAATACATACAAAGCAATGTCTAACATCTCAACCCAGCCTGCGTCGGTTATTATGTCTATAAGAATCTTGCCGGAACAGACGGCTCCACTCACTCCCTTGATATTTTCAAGCCAAACACGAGAAACCAAAAAAGTTACTTGTTTACCGCAGACTGCACCGCACCCGGATGGCAGACATGGGGTTCAGACATAGAAACAAGCGCACCTCCCCGCGATGTTCTCACAGCCAAGGAGATAAGAGAGCTCAAAGAGGCCGGCAACATACGCAAAATACCATCGTCTCTCCCCATCGGGACAACAACAAACATCCCACCTGCCGTCATCGTCGATGCGATCATCCACTGCATTGACCGCACGTCAAAACGTCAACCTGTCCATGACCCAGACACAGACCACAAGCTGTCAGAAGATATAGAGCGCTACATCAAACTTCGAAGAGACAGGTGTCTGACTTCAAAAGGGCGGGTTGACCTGGAGTTCACAGAAAATGAAATCGAGACGAGAAAGGCCCGCAGAGATGCGTACAGGACTGTGGCGGGCGAGGAAGAAGGTGACAAGAAGGCCAAAATTGGGGTTTTCTTTTGAAACAGGGCGGACATCGACTTCGATCTTCCAAAGATCAGATCGTGGCTGCTGGGCCACAGCGAGAATTAAGCTCGTTCAAAAGTGATTGCTTTGTTTGCCGCCGCGGTCCTTGGGAGAGGTCGATTGAAAGAGTCCGCAGTCCGACTACTATGAGTCTTTGGGAGTTGTGCATTTGGTCTACATTCAAACCGAGCTCACCAGTAGCTGAATATCCAATCAGTCTTTCATGAACTTGCATTGAGCTCGAGAATACTACCATTCTAACAGAAGAGGTAATATACCCTCGAAGTGGACACAAAACGTAGGCATATATATACTGAATAACCTGCGCTGCTCGTGCATAAATCAAATACTCATTGGTATACATAAAACCGCACTTCCTTGCGCATAAACCCAAAGTCCCAACTCTCAACGAAACACAATTGCACTTGCCTCCCATGGATATATCTACGCCGGCGCAGCAGCTCCCTCGCCATTCTCCCCACCATTACCACCCCCACCCGTAAGACTAGACATAAACTCCTGCCATCTAAACACCTCCGTCCTATTACCCAAACTCTTCCCTCCCTTAGCGAAAGCCCTCCGCCCACTAAACCCCTCAATAGCCATATCAATCTCCCGCTCCGTCAACTTCCTCTCCCCAGCCTCAGGCGCCGTATGCAACAAAGCGTCTTTCAACTCCGCCAAATCAATCTGCCCATCGTCGTTGTCATCGAAGGCCTCAAATGCGGCGGTGAGCTCGTTCTGGTGGGAGAGGTTGCCGAGGAGGTCGGAGAGCGTTGTCAGGTAGGTCGCTAGGTTGATAGATTGTGCGCCGTTGAAGTAGGTGGAGAGTTGGGAGGGGGTGGCGGAGAGGCCGAGTTGGGAGAGCATGTCTGCGACGTCGGCGGAGTTGACGTGGCCGTCGTCGTCGCGATCCATGACGCTGAAGGATTCGCGCATGCTGTGGAGGAGGGGCGGGGGCAGTTTGGAGAGGGCGTCGCTGGAGGCCATTCGTTGCATGGGTGCTGGTCGTGCTGTGCGCTCTACTGGCTTGTAGGTCTCGACGGGTTTGTATGTCTCGACAGGCTTGTAGGTTTCGACTGGCTTGTAGGTTTCGACTGGCTTAAACGTCTCGACTGGCTTGTATGTCTCGGCCGGCTTAGGCTCCTCAACTGGAGTATGAATCTCGACTGGCTTGAGGCTCTCAATGGGCTCGGTATTCTCGACCGGTGGTGACTTCTTCCTGCTAAACAGAGGCGGTGGTGCGTCGTCCCTCCCGGCGGCCTCAAACTTGGCTGCGATGGATGATGTGCTTAGAGGGCGCACCGTCATCTGCGAAGACGAGGAGACATTCCGCGTTGGCGAGACATTGCGTCCAGGCGAGAGATTTCTAGAAGGCGAATTGGGCGCTTCTGGGGTGCCCGTCGTCCCCCGTGTGTTCAGCCAGGATGGCGGGTTTTGCGATGGGTTGCCCCCGATGGACAGACGGTTGGGGGTTTGCGCAGGGGATGTCGGAGTCTCTTTCGGCTTGAGAGGCGAACTGTTCGGCGTCGATGGTCGCAGGGTAGACGGTGAGCTCTCTCTGATGGAGCCTGGTCTGCGGAAAGGCGACTGGCGCGGGCTGTTGAAGGAGAGAGGTGAGGGCTTGTAGGGCGTTGGTGTTGTAGACTGCATATCTGAATTAGTCGCATTCATACATTTCACAAGGGTCCAGCATACCATGGTGCGTATATTCGTTTTGGTGATGTCGCTGGTCGTCGCGTTGTTTGGTGTTGTCAATGGGATGGCCTAGCAACGAGCCTATCGATAAGCTGACATGGGTAATTGGCGTGGGCATGCAGGGTTCGTTCACCCTCTGCGGGCAGCATAGCGGGTCACACGCATAGTCACAGCTCCGGATACTATGCGGTAGCCATTCACGCCTCCAGATCCACGGCCTGCTGGATCAATCCCCCATCGCCGCCAGCTACAGCGCGTCATGTTGTTTCGGGACGGTTACATTAGGCTCCCCTAGCGCCGTCGATCTATAATGTAGCATCCGAGTCGCCAGGTGCCCGTACAGAAGAAGATGGAGACACTCATGGCTGAAGTAATCGCACAGCGGCCAAGCGGGCCCAATACCGCTCAGCCTGTTTCCCTGCAGCGCCAGCCCTCCTTCTCCTCGTTCCCTCCCTCGCGATCGCCCTCTACCCGCAATGGCCACCATCCGAAAGCTCGCTCCCCGCAACCCCCCATGCTCCGCGAGGGCGACGAAGACGACTCGATCCAGTCCTCGCACGACGAGTCGTACCAGTCCTCCATGGCCGCCATTCCCAGAGGAACCGCCAAGTTGCGCTCGCAGTATCCCGCCGATGCAGTTGAGAACCATGTCGAGTACATCCTGGTCGCCTCGTTCGACATTGACCGCGGCTCCATCATGGAGCACCAGTACCCGGCGGCTATCAGTGGAGACGAGACTATGCTAGCAGAGCTCATGTTGCCCGATCAGGCCCACGTGCGCAGTCAAGACTGGACCATCTTCTTCCTGCACAAGGACACCACAGCCGAAGAGGAGGAGCGCGAAGCACGGAGAGAGCGCAGGAGGAGGAGACGCCGGCGGAAAGAGGGCCTGGAAGAGGAAGGCGACGACGACGCGACTGCCGGCACGGAAGAGCAAGACGACGAATACGATGACGGCGACGACGACACAGAGAGCGAAGGAGAGCCAGACCCTGACGGGCCCCCATTGGTCTATGTCTTGAACCTGGTCAACACCAAGCAGGACAACACGGTGAAGAGGTAGGAAGAACATTTCCATAAACTTGGCAAGACTAACAGTATGTAGAGGTGCTATCGTCAAAGCTATGGCTATATGCACGCGCCATCCTTTCCTGCACATATACAAGCCCCTGCTACTGCTGGCTCTCGAGGAATACTTCAGAGCACCTGTCCTGGAGACGCTCGAATCTCTGTACAACGCCCTCAATGCCATGGACCTCTCACTTCTCCCGAGGCTCTCACCCCTGGAGAACTTCGTGCTTGGCGCCAGCGATGCCAAAGACATGTTCGTGGAGAAGTTTGAGCTCATGGTCCGGCAGCGGAAGAAGCTCGATGCTGCGAGAGACTCTGTTGAAACATCTTCAGATCCTCAGTCGCGCAAGAAGACATACACTGTCCCGCGAGACACGCACGAGTTTGAGTCCAAGATCAACTACAACGGCATACCTGTCCCCGTCAAGATACCCACCGCTCTGAGTCCAGAGACCGTCGGCGACTTCTCCTTGATAAAGCTCATTCAAACCTTCTCCGCGCCTCATGCGGCGCAACCGCAGCCCTTCGCTTTACACCCGCATCTGACCACGAGCGGCGCATTCACTCACCCCATCATCGTCCTCGTCAACGCCCTCCTCACACAGAAGCGCATCATCTTCATCGGACATAATCGCCCTTCAGGCGAAGTTGCCGAAGCTGTGTTGGCAGCATGTGCTCTGGCCTCTGGTGGCATCCTCCGTGGCTTCGTGCGCCATGCGTTTCCATATACCGATCTTACCAAAGTAGATGACCTGCTGAAGGTACCTGGCTTCATTGCTGGCGTCACCAACCCAGCGTTCTCCTACAAGCCCGAGTGGTGGGATTTGCTTTGCGATCTACCGACTGGTCGCATGAAGATCAGCAATCGCATTGAAACGGCGTCACCCACAGAGGGCTCCATGTTCTTCCAGCAACAGGGGCTACCACTGAACGGGCCAGGTGCACCACCAGCCTTTGACGGCAAGGGCGGCGGCGTTGACCCGACCGGCGACACCCAGTTCATGGACAGACTTCTCGAGAGTATCGCCAACCGTCACGGCGAGAATGCTATCCGAGCGAAGTGGCGTTCGTGGGTGCTCAAGTTCACCCGCATCGCAGCTGCTTTCGAGGAGACGGTCTATGGCGCTTCGGCATTGTACATTGGCTCCCACGAGACCGATGTAGGCGCATATGGTGTCTCTGGACATGGCTACGTCTGGCCAGACGAGAACCATAAGTTACGCGAGCTCGCTGCAAATGTACACCGTATCGAAGGTTGGCGCAACACAAGGAGCTATTACAGCTGCGTTCAAGACCTAGCGAGACACTGGAAAAAGAGGCCAGTCCGCGGTCTTGACATTGGCCACCAGCACGACAAGCTACGATGCTTGAAACTCACGCACGATCAATCCGCGGGCATCTATCTTGCACTCGCGCGGTGCGTTGAAGAAGCAGGTTCACCACCTAGTGAGAGTGCGAATGCCTCTTCGAGTGATTTGTCGTCCATGGCCCAGTCACTTTCCATCGCGAATGACTCTGAGCGCAAGGCGAATTCGCAGCTGCAGTACGACACCATTCTGCAGCTGCTCTGTGTGATCCCAGATGCTGGTCTCTTCTATCTTAGTCTAGGCTTGTTTCATCCTCGACAGGATGTCAGGATGGCGGTCGTGAGATTACTAGAGAGGATCATGGACCACTCTGCTGGTCGGCACTACTGGGGTCAATTAGGACGTTTCGCCAAGCTGGCGTTCTTCAGAGTGAAGAGAGAAGAAGCGCAGAAGTAGTTGCGGTACGATAAGGCGTTGACGGCGTTGGCTGGAATTGCCGGTATAATACGTGTCATGGAGTTTGTAAATGCTGTAACGTAGATATCTGAATGAATGAAATGAAGTACACATGGAGTGCCTAGCTACCCTCATGCAAACTAGTCGCCATGCAGCAAAGTCACGTCTGTCCCCCAGACACGCTACGAACCGTTGGATGCGCGCGCATCCCTGCATCGCATCTCATCTCCGCCTAAATCATACTCGCCCAAAATTTCCCGCTTCACCCCTCGAAATGCGCCCGCCCTACATCCTCAGACACGTTGCGCATGCTGTCTGCACGTCAATTGAATAGCGACAATGGCATCACTGCCACCGAGCGAACCCCCGGCGGTTAAGAAACGCGGACGCCCGAAGAAAGTCGTAGCCGAGGATGCGGGGGCAATACCAGCGGTCGAAGCAAGCAAGGTGGCCGTAAAGAAGATCGCCGCGAAGCCTGCTGGAAAGGCGAAACCCGTGGAAGTCAAGAAAGAGAAGAAGACGGTTGCGAAAAGCGCAAAGACTATTACTCCTCCTGCAACTCCTGCCGCGAAGAAAGATGCGCCTCAGTCGCCAATAGCGGCCGAACAACCGACGCCTGTCACACCCTCCACAAGCAAGATATTAGAGGAGGTACAAGCGAAAGGGACGCTGAAGAAGGCACAGGCTGCGAAGGTCGAGGAGAAGGTAGCGTCGGGTACGGATAAGAGGACTGCGGCGCCACAACCCCAGACCCAGGAACCGACAACAAAACCAGCGTCGAAACCAACACCAGCGTCCACAAGTCCTCCTCCTCCAAAACCGACTACGATTCCCACCACTCCACGCCCAACAACAATCCCCCTCCCCTCCAACCCCACAAAAGCACCATCACCCATCTCCTCACCACCGCCACCTCCCTCTACTACGAACCCATACCCACGCTTCTCCAAACCCACACCATCAACCCGCCACATACCACCGAACCCCTACCCAACAAGCATCCGTCCCTCAAACCAACAAGCACCTCCATCTCCACCGCACCGCCAACACCCCACACGCCTCATCGAGCCCACACCCGACATCAGACTACCGCCTAAATACAAGCCCGCGTCGCGCCGGGTTACCGCGATAATGGTAAGCCTGCCGATTGTGTTGGTGTTTGGGTATGAGTTGTTTGAGCGGTGGAGGGGGAAGGAAGTTAAGCAGGTTTTTAGGGAGACGGAGGGGTCAACGAATGAATGAATTGACAGGTTGGTAATGAATGGGTGAGGGATGGAGGTAATGATGATGACGACGAGTAATGTTGGATTGATTTTGTACTTATACTATATATATGGTCTGGTCTCTGCTACTTCTTATGTATGTTTATAGAGATACGGTACACAGAAGGGGTATCACTACTCTTGTGTGCTGTTGCTGTTGCTAATCCAGTCTACTCTCTCGAATCGTGTGGCGACCTATCTGGTTCGCCTTCCATGCTGGTTGAACAAAAGAAAAAGTGTGTGAACAGAATGTGAAAGACTATGTATAAGAAGGGTAGTCGCGAAAAAGACATCAAGCTTAACCACCCACGCTACATGTAACTCTTCTTCCGCAGCAGCATGCCGCGAGTCCCCGATGGATCAATTGGCAGACCCGATGCACTACCACGCCGGCTACCAGGCCTACTGGCCGACGGCGAACGTGTGGTGTTGATGGGCTCTACATCCAGAATTGGTGGACCTACACTGACATCGGGAGTAGCGGGCCCTGGCGGGTGGAATAGGCGCTTGTACCGCAGCTCTGGTGAGCTTGGTACGTTTGGATTTGAGGATCTTGCAGCCGAGGTCATGGTGAGGTTGAACAGCGTGTTGGTACGACGACTGAGCGGACTTTGAGTTGGCTGTGGTGTGGGCTGTAGCGTGGGCTGTGGGGCAGCCTGCATCGTAGCTTGAGGAGTTGAAGGCCAGAGGGTGGGACCGGTGAAGGTGGGTGATGTAGAAGGCGAGGGTGAAGAGAGCCTGTCTGTAGTGTCTGACTCGGGATCGGCAAAGTAGTCGTGGTCAGACGTGTCGTTCGTGGACGACATGGGATCGAGTTGGATGGTCTCGGTCCACTGGCGCCTTGCATTGTTTGCGCCTTGGGCTTGCTTCGCAACGGAAAGCGGTTGTGAGGACGCTCTCAAGGCTGCACGAGACAAGAGAGGACTGGTGGGTGCAGATTTCCGCAGCACAGGGCTAGGAGGCTCCGTCCTGAGCTCGAAGCGCGTCATCTTATGCGTCGATTTCGCTCGCTTTCTTTGAGCGAGATCGTTATCCTGAGAGCTGGTCCGCCTGATATTGATGTCTTGCTGTGGTGTAAAGACGAGCCGTCCCTTGAGCTTCTGGATCGTGTCGTCCAACGCGAGCTCAATGGCGACATGATTTTGTATCCGCGAGAGCTTTGGCCATGTAGCTCGCTGTCCAGTGAGCATGCATCCGACCATGAACTCGGGCGTGGGGTTGCTCAAGACTCTAGGGAAGTCCGCGTAGTTGATCTTAGGGAAGATGTTGATGTCGCCTGAGTATCGCTGGCTGAGCACCGAACGTCCTTTTGTGACAAGGTTTGGGAGGAATCCAGTATCCGCTAGCTGTTGGAGGCGGTGCATTACCTCACCCTTGCAAAGACTAGCTGAGAGACTCATCCAACCGGGACCAGTGACGGCGTCTTGGGCTTCTGCAGCGACAATCTCCTCCTCTTTCGCCAGAAAGGGAACAACGTGCGGGTTGACCTGCGAGACAATGAAGTGATTCACGTTGAACATCTCGGCTAACCGGGTCATCGGTAGGTCGTTGTCTACTGAGCCATCGATCCATGTCGCGTCAGGGTTTGGATCCCAAGGTACTTCCAGGCCGGTCTTCGGGTCCTTGGCCAGCAGAGATGCCTTCTTGTAGACGAGCGGAACTGAGCAAGAGGTGCATCTACGTAGCGTTAGCATAGCCATAATGGTTCCTTGTTTTCGTGCACTTACACTGCAGACCAGATCATCACGTTCGGTGCTGTGATGTAATTCAAGAGTCTGGGCAGTTCGTAGAGCGACGAAGTTGAAACAGGAATGTTCAAAATACGTCGAGTCCGGTTGTATGCTTCTTGAAAGGTCAAGTCTCCAAGCAGATCACGCATAACTCTCATGAGATGTGCAATGTCAAAAAGAGCTCCAGACTTCATCAAGCGCATTGCTTTGTTGATCATGCCTTCTGGGTGATCCGGGCTTTCAAATACGTTCAAGTCTCCAAAGCAAAATTGGTGCATAACCTCCGGGATCTCTGCATCAGTCTTTGCGCATAGAACAGCACTGACGATGCTTCCTGCAGAGGCTCCCGATATGATGCGTGGGAGAAGACGAGCGTCCCAGAGACCCTTGACGACGCCGATGTGGTTCATCCCAAAGGTTCCACCGCCTGAGAGCAACAATGCGCTCCTACCGAATGATTGGCGTGTTTGAAGCAGTTGGTCGACCAGCCGCCGCGGCTCGATAGGACACTGATCTCCCTGCTTCTCCGAGACGTCCAGCAGAGCGGCCATAGTTTGCTGAGCCGACTCGATGTACCTCTCGATCAGACGCTTGGTTCCAATATGCGAGTGCTTGTACAGACGCAGGTCGCCCATGTCGCCCAGTCCGCGTGTGAGTGTGGTCCTGATCAGAAACAGCATCCTCTTCACATCGCAACTCATGCGAGCATCATCCAGCTCTTTCAGCCGGGCAGCAACCAGATCCACATTGTATTCCGGAGTGTCGTCCTCTTCTTTCCAGGCTTCGTTTCCTTCTAGGATATCGAGCTCGGTCGCGGCGGCTTTCCATTGGTCGTATGTCTCGGCCTGCGTGGCGATCTCGTCAGCATGTGAAAGGGCACGACCAATCTGAGGAACCCACGTCTTTCATGTGCAGGTACAGGACCTGCCTACGATTTGCTTCCGCAGCATCCACGGCTAATTCAGGAACATGGTAGTCGCCTGCTGGGTCGCCCAGAGTACCCAACGGATTCCTGGCCAGCTGCACCAGGGGTCCGAGGAAGCCACCATGGCTTTTGCTCTTCCTTATGGATTTCTGCCCATGTTGTCCTCCTCTTACGTGCAGTCGCGTACTGCCGCCTGTAAAAATGGTGTCAGACAGCAATGACATCGAGCGCCGGTACACGCCATGCGCGAATCCTACGAAGCCTGGCTTAGCCGGTGGTAGGAGGATCGGTAGATCGGGTGGTCGTGAAGGCAGCTTGCGGTGGTGTCGAAGTAAGGGAGTCGGTTTCCAGGAAGTCTGTCGCGGTCGAGGGAGTCTGTAGCCTAGTAATAGTGCTTTTCGAGAAGACGCGGTGTAGGGTGGCCGGAGATGGTCAACTGCGGGTGGTCATGCGCCTCGGTCGCGCAAGTCGCGGAAGGTGCGTCACAGGCTTGCCGCTTCAATACTTCTGCAATGTTGTCGCCGGACGACGAAACGGGCGCGAGAAGGGTCGGCATTGACGCCTTCGAAGTATTCGATGCGTGCAGCGCATGCTAGGGAGCGTGGGGACATGCGCATGGTACATCGTCATCGGCAAGGATCAACTAAACAAAGCCGGCGAAGGTGTCGCGTCGGCAGTAGTCATCAACCGACGCTGATACGACACGCATCTTCCACCTGTACCTGCAGGTCCAGTGTTGGCAGACTACTGCACATGCAGCCATGGATCATGTGTCTTACGTGTAGCTGGTATCAAAGCCCGAGAGTCCTCTGACCACCTGTTGCTGTGCTCAACTCCCAAAAGCCCTTAGTTGTGAACTGTGGGCACGCAGCATTAGTTTAGAAAGGCCGTGTAGCGCCGCGAATAGTTGCTCGTCCGAAATCGCGATCCCGCGCTGCAGACGGCAGATCTGGAGAAGACTGCAGACGTGGGGCAGCCATCCCTACCTGTTTTGACCGCCATCTTCGATCTTGTGAGTCCACGAGGCTCTATGCATAAGACAATGCACCCTCAAAAAGAATATGGGTGTGACACAGTCAGTCGTGGCCATTCGCACAGGGAGCCGACCGGCTTACAGCTGGCGCCTCTTTCACATGTCAGACTTACACCCAACGGACTCAACACTCCATAGGTGTACAAAAAAAGAAAGAAGCAACGCAACTGTCCATGCAGATAATCGCCTCTGTTCTGAGAATCTATTTCAAGCTACCAGATGAATATTGGCCTTGGCCATGAAATGGTGGGTATGTAGCTGGATCATAACGTCGTTGCCATGCCGGGTATCATGCAAGCGATGAGTAGAAAATGCCATGCAGTCGCGCCGAAACTCCTTTCAAGCCCTCATGTGCATACTCATGCTGCCATGCATGCCTCACACTACTTCACGACTCTTGCAAGTCTCGGCTTCTCGCCTTGAGTACGCACTACACGGTACCACCCCTTAGGCTTTCCCTCCTGTGTGACTCCTAGATACACCTTGCTGACGTTGCTCAAGTGGGCGAGTGCATTTGACCCGGGTAGCTGGTCCGGTAGTAAAAGCTCCGTGAAGGCATCGAGATGCTCGCGACGCAGGCGGTCCTCCATGAACAAGAAATGGAACATGATGCTATACGAGCCGAAGGCGATCAGGTTGAGCCTGTAAGGCAGCGTCGCTGTTTCCTGGTACATCTGACGGCAGACACCGTTGAGCAAGGTAAACACGGTGGGCCTCTTGACCCAGGGCTGGGATATCGTCTTAAAGGGATTCTGATGACCATCGTACACTGTGCACTGGTACTTGAAGATAGGTGTAACCCGCTTTACCTTCTTTGGCTTTGCAGGATCAAAGGTGAGGTGATAGGTCTGGTAGCCGATGTTGATAGTCTTACCACCAAGTGCGTAAGCGTAGATGAGATTCCTCACGTTTTCGGGGAGCTGCAGGAGAGGCGAGTCGGTCTGGTTTATCTTGAATCTGATATAGTCAGTTCTGTGCATAAGTTGAGTATTGTCTGAGACATACTTGCGGGCTTGGTCTGAACTTCTAGACAGACGTTCCCCCATTATAGTTCGCCGTGGTGCTGCAATCTCCTCAGCTTTGTATGTCTTCGGCTGATATGGTTCTTTCGGCTGCTCATTCTTAATGACCCGCTCAAAGAACCGCGATGTCTGGTTTGGCGCCGTAGGTGACGTCTTTAGTGTCGCCACCTCGCTCCTGTGAGTGATTCCCCTGTACCGCGCGAAATTCTCATCTCTCCGTGCTTGCTGGTGGGCTTTCTTCTGGACCTCCGCTGGTGGCGTTGGCAGAGAGCTGTTCCTCGCCCAGCCATTCTGTTCTCTCGACTTGTGCCCCGTTTTCATAAGGCCTTTGAAGTTCTCACGGTCACCCTGGATACCGCGCTGATGCGGCTTTGGGGCTTGGTGCTTCTTGTTTTCGAGAACCTTATCGAAGATGGAGCGCGGAGGGTTCATGTCGTCATCAGGAATGGAGACGGGACCGTTGAACCAGGATTTCTTTCCTCGTCGGCTTGAGGGTGGTGTCGGTAGCCGCGATCCATTTGGCTCGGTATTTGTTCTAGGACGCTTGTGACGGTCGTCGTTCTCATCTGCTGGATCGCGGTCGTGAGGTGCGCGACGTTTGTTTGGGCGCCGTGAATAAGTGACTTTTCCCGCCATTTTGCGGAAGAAGTTGATGACTTTTGAGAGAAGTGCGAAAATGGCGAGTTCGGATTGGGGAGAGCAAGTTTCCCTCGCCGCAACCGAAGAAAGTGCGAGGCTGCTCTATTGTGGCAGGTGCAGTTTGATCCACCTATTACCAATTAAGGTAGCGACTCGTTAAATGAAAGAATGACGAAGAAAGGAAAGTGAGTGAAGCTGGTCGTGGAGACCCAGTGTGCGTGCTTTCGCAGCCTTGAGCAGCTCACCACGCGCAACAGCCGCTGCAGGTGGTTAAGCAAGCAAACCCAGGGCGTGAGTACGGTGCGGAGGAGTGATTGCGTTCCCTGAACCGTCGAACGATGCCTACGCGAAATCCCAAAGCCCAACGAACCTGTGTGCACGACGATCGGATGTAGAAATAGATCTCCGCTTGTCGCGGTCTCACGTGGGATAGTAGTAGTCATCAACGATGAATTTGGTTAGCGGCCGGTTCTTAGTGGCACCGTTTCTGAGGCAGCACAAACCTCACCGGGCACATTATCAAGAGGAGAGCTACACGCGTGTCTGGATGACAACGTAGCCCGTAGAGAAAGGCGCATATTCTTCTTCGTTCACAGAATCGTGGGCGCAGCTTCTGAGCATTGCGACGAATCTCCCTCGTCGTCTTCAATCTCACCCCAGCCATTGCCTCCGCTCGGGTCGATAAGAAGAAGAAGCTCTTTTCATTACTCTATATCTGCAACACTCTAGTAACTCGCAAGAGGAACTATTTAATTTGGAATACTCTGCGAAGTCAAGCATGCGATGTCCCTGCCGAGGTGAGAGACGCCGATGCCCCGTGACGTGGCTTTGCTCTTCCCAGTCCTGCCTCCTCTTCTATTGTCTAGTCTTCAGATCATCTTGTCATCTCGCTTTCCCGAGCATAGTCTTTTCACGTACAGCAATATCCAAATTTTCCATCGCATAGCTACTATTCCATTCGAGTAAGCATCTTAGTTGAGTTAAGTCTCGCTCCTACCTGGGGGTCTTTCGATATTAGCAAGTCAACGTCATTGCGTGGTCACCCAGCAAACGTTCCAGCTGCTGGTGCTCCAGGCTGCTGCTTCCGCTTCGGGAAGTCGCGCTCACCTCGAATCTGATCGGCGGCAAGAACTAGTCGGCTGCCTCGTCAACAACCTTGGCCGCACTTCTTCTTCCAACCCTGTCTCAACATCTGCGAACTCAGTATCTCCTACCGCTCGCGCTCGCAAAGTGAGTATGCCGTTCCTCACGCCCAAGAATACAGGTGAGCTTTCTCCACGACGCCGCAGGTCAATCTGCTGTTGTGTTGACATCGAAACACTGACCGATGTGTAGTCACTGCGGCCCCCGCCCTTGTATGGGATGCATTTCCTCCGCCGCCCCCAGAGGCTGAGACGTGTATGCAATCTCAGACATGAGAATTCTCGTCACGCACGCTGACGTAGCGATATAGGGCAACCGGATGCAGACAGCATCGCTAGGCCTGGACGTCTTCCGGACCCGCGCTTCAATCGCGATCCGGAACACGACCGCCGCAGTAAATCGTTCCGACGGGAAGCGAAGATGCTTGCCACAAACCAGCTTGGTGCCTCATCTTCATCCGTGAACGGAAGCTCTCTGGGCCGTGGAATCGGCCAGTGGCCAGCTCCAGCTGCACGCAGCACCGGCTTCCCTCGAGACGTGATCCAAAGTGCTAGTCCCGCTTCACCTCCAGCGAACGCTGTCAAAGAACATGTTCAGACCTCTAGGCCCAAGCTGTCCGCGATTAAGCCAGTCACACGTGTCGCGGGTCCTCCTAAGGGAACGATGGAGTCAATGTTCGTGCTACACTCTCGCCGTCCAGAGAACCCAGTAAAACCGAAGGCCTCCACAAGTTCAGCATCACCCACCCAGAGCCAACCGCCAGATTGGGCTGTCGCTATTGAGAAAGCCATGCAAGAAGGCGCTGGACAGGATACGTTGACTGCTAGTACAAAGAGCCCTCGCCCTGAGAGCATCCGCAAGAAGTCGATACCTCCTCATTTGAGGACCAAGACCGACGACCTCGTCCAAGCTCACAAACAACTCAGCTCGCTAGACCTGAACCCGAACGCGAAAGTGTTCGAGGCGCCAGTCAAGGTAGTTGAGGAACAGGTCAACGCCACGAGCGAGGCTTTGGCCTGGAAGGTGGCTATGTCAGAAACCGGTATCGATCATGTTGAAGAAGTGAGTCTCGACACATCTATGCAATGTATATCCACTAACAGATTCTAGGGCTTGCGCGTGCAACAAGATTTGCTCAACGCATGCATTGCTAAGAAGTCTACCACGCCTAGTATCCCACCCACGACT